GGGGGGGGGGGGGGGGGGGGGGGGGGGGGGGGGGGGAAAGGAGGAGCGTGGAGGGATGGGGAGAGCTGCGGTGGATGGCACATGCAGGGTATTGCTTTTCTTGCTTGCAGATGTAGTGTTTAAAAAATTTTAGGAGGCTTTGGTGGTCATATCGGTCAGGTGGAAGGGAGAAACAGAAGCAGGCCGCAGTCTTTTACAATCACAGCGAGTAGCCATCCGCCAGCAGGTAAGGCTTCAATTCTAGTGTTCCTGCGCATCTGTTGAAAATTGGCTGCACTGGTTGCCGGGTTTATATTTTTCATCTTATGGCCTTTTTTCGTCTGATGGAACTGTCATTGTATGAATCAGGTGGTTTGCATCTTATGCTTCTTTTACATCTGTGCTATGCAAAAATGCATATTGCCGGGAGTTTGTCAGTGTTTGTATATGTGTGCCTGTGTGTGCACGTGTGTGTTTGTGTGGGTATATGCATGCATGTGTGTGTGTGTCTGTGTGTGCGTGTGTGTGTATGTGTTTGTGTGTATGTGACCTTTGCCCAGTTCCCTCAGTGTGGAGACCTATGAAAGCTATAAGGTTTAAACTTTGACAACTTGTCTACACCTGCCTGCGGAATCCAAAGGGTAAAGCGGACGTTCACGTCCTCCTGGAACACACGTGCAAACACGTGGTCTTTGACGGGGAAGCGAGTTCGAGAACCAAGCTAGCCGGAGGCTGAAACTTTGCGAAGCTGTTACTTCCCCACATGGAACCTTTCAACTTTCGAGCACCCCGCGGGTCTCACGCACGCACACGTTAAAGTTTAAACTGGCATAATGCCAACTCGAGGACTAGACTGGGTAGGAAGTTATGGAGAACTGTAATTTTGTAATTGTTTGCCGTTCACTAATGTGCTTGTTCGTGAATATAAATTCATCTTTCACGCTCCCCTGCTTCTCATGTGTGCGCACATGAAATTTGACGCAGGTAGTTTTGTAACTTAGGACCCATTGCAGCCAAGGTGCGAAAGTTTTCCGAGCATGGCCTAGGGCCATGTTTGGTTGGGCGCACGGAAAAACAACATCCACGTTCCCCTTCACGCACGTGCACGTGAAATCTGGCATAACTCGGCAGCCGAAGCAGTTAGAGTGTTGAAATTTCCTGAACACCGCCCTAGGCCGCGTTTAGCTAGGCTTGCAAAAAAACAACTTTCATTTTCCCCCTCACATAGGACGTGTAATTTGATGTAACTTAACAAACAAAGCAGCTGGATTGCTGCAGTATTCGGAGCATGGCTCACGATCGTGTTGGGAGTTTTTATGGTAATTTATGGCACCGTGATGGTCGGTCTCAATTCGTTTAGCTGGAGATATCTGCCGCAAAAAAACACCGTTGTTTGTAGCAAACATCTTCAGGGAAAACTATACAAAAAAGCACCTTGGCAGTAGCAGCCGGTGCGGTGACAATTAGGTTTTACTTTTGCACGAGCTGTTGCTAGATTTTTTTTTTTTTTAATTTTCTGTTTTTTAATCTTATCTTTGCCACTAATTTGCTCACTTTTTACTGTTTCTATTCGCCTTAGAATTTGATCACTTATGTCTGGTTTCTTGAAATTCGCAAGCTTACACTCACGTTTTCCTAGCATTATTTTTTATGCATTTTGTCTCGCCACTGTTGTAGCGCAAGACGCACATGGTTGAGTTCTGTGTGTGTGTAAGTGTATGTACACGTGTGTGTATGTATGTGCTTGTGTGTATGCGCTTGTGTATGTGTTTAGGTTTCTTTTTTATCCGGAGCTCCCCACTTAGAAAGCAGGAAAGCTGTGAAGCTGAAATTTTCGAAGAATGGACCATGCCTTTGTACGGTCTCGTAAATCCAAATTCAGCTCCCACGCACATCCAGATGTCACATGCGAGCACGCGATTGTTTGGCGGGAAAATCGTTAACTTGGGAACTAGAAAAGTTAGGAAATTGGAACTTTAGGAGAATGTTTCGTGCTGATTTACGATTAAAGAACGTGAAGCGCGATTTTCACATACGCCTTGATCTGACGCATTGATACGTGGAGGTCGTGGCGCCGCATCGGGAAGCGAAGGAGATGAAATTTTGTAAATTTAGCAGTTGCGGAAACTGGGTCTACTGGGTCGGGAGACCGGTTGCAGTGGCTGAGGAGCGGGGAAGAGAAGAGGAGGGGTGGAGACGAGGGGTGGTGATTTAGATTTCGAGGTCGTAACGAAGAGGAGGGGCGGTGTTGTTGGCTAGAAAGGATCGGAGATCTAGCGACCAGGAATTGGGAATAGAGGCAAGATTACGGGGGAGAGAGTCTGTGTAAGTTTTTTGTGCTCAGTATGAAACTTGGTGCCGAGAGGAAGTTAGCATTCTCGAACGCTACACCAAAAAATAAGTACGTATTAGTCAGCCGAAGTGAGCCGGGTTTTAGTAGCTGCCAAAGTTTAGGATAATACTTTTTATTAATGTGTAACTTTGAAGTTCCGAATTCAGCTTTCTTGTTCACTTACACCTCACGGATATGTGAAATTTCATGTAGGAAATTTTCAGTTCGGGAATCACACAAGATGATAAGGAAAATTTCCGGAGATTCATGCTTTTTTTTTCGGAGATGTGATCAAATCACATGCCAGTGCGGGAAATTTTCGATGGGTAATTTCGTAGTTCGGGGGAAGGGACAACGTTTCGACTATTTCTTCAAACACCAAGCTGAAGAGCACTGTACATTTTTAACAGCAAATGTTTGCTGGACAAAATTACGCAAAAAACGCTTGATCGAATGGTTACCTTGATGCGCGTGGTTGTTTATTATCGTAGCTGTTACATCACATAATCATTATAATTTCCATTATTATTTTGCTGCTCTTCAGCTGCTGCAAATTTTGTTGAGGTGCAGGTGTGGTACTGTAAAAGTCTTCACAGTTGAATGCACAAAACGACTTGCCTTCACTTAGCTCTGTATCCTTCACTGTAATTTTTGATTTATTACCTCTTGCTGGATCACTTGCTTTAGGAGCACTTATTCAAAACACCAATACAGGCTAATTTTATTTAACTCCATATCGAGAAAACAAGAGTAAAAAGCAATAAGGAGTGAGAGTGAGCTCGCTTGTCATCTTTTCTTCAAAGGAACGTCACCTGTGGCGTCACTTGCCGTATGAATCGTGTAGTAATTTCCTCTCTTACCGCTCATGAATTACCTCAGCACTTTTTAAAGGTCAAGTTTTTAGTCGTTTGGTTTTTTTTAGGCACCGGCCCAGCTGGAGCCGTTGATCATTTCGTGCGCAACATGTTACAGAATGCAATTGGAAATGCGATGCCGGCGCAGCGTGGCCAGCCTGGTAAGCTTTAAAATGCCAAAGTGCCTTTTTGTGGAACAGCTTTTTAGCGCTTTGTTAATCTTGCTTTTAAGATTCGATGAAAGCTAGTTTCTAGCAGTTCGAGTTAGTTTCTTATTTGCTCCCAGGTTTTTTTTTCTTGCTGGCATTCGTACTTGTGTTGTTTTTCCTTGCAGCAACTGGACGACAGCACGACCGAATTGCTGGTCGTCCTCAAAACATTCCACATGGAAACCAGCAAGGACCTACAGTGGTAAGAAACTTGTTCGGTTACACACTAGGAAAATTTTCATTATCTGTAGTTCTGTACAAACGTTGTGTTAAGATGGCATATTAAAACAGGGGAAATAGGAGGGGATACAGTTTAAAAAAGTGGTCATGTGCGATTTAAAAAAGTGATCATGCACAGTTCTACCATTTTGATTTCAAATTTCTCGTAGTGATAAGCCTCAACATCTATGTGGGGCCACTTTTTATAACGATTTGTTAACAGATCATCAAGTACCTCTGTTCTTTTTCTCCTTAATTTCGTAAGCTTCCTTCTGAACATAGAGGATGTCGCTTTTGTTTTGGCTGCGCTAAAAATGCTGCTTAGGACTAGAAATCTTTTCCTGTCAGTGCTTGAGATTTTTATACTTATTGCTTCATCCCAGGTGTGACTTAAATTACAGAATCGGAACAAATCAAGAAATTTTTGCTAGATTTGGGAGCGGCGAATAGAACTGCCCAAAGGCCCGTTTTATGTTCTATGGGTCCATGAAAATTATGACTGATACGTTTGGCCATAAACGGGTAGAGAAGCAGAATAAGGAACTAGATGAAAAATTGCGCATCGTTTAGAGGAACAGCAGAAAAATTTTGGCTTCCGAAAAATAGATTCAGTTTAGATAAGCATCGCAGTGAAACGTAATTATTGTTCTGCAGTGGGAATTAGAATAGGAGGAAGGAGTATCTGGATGGGGCCTGGGTGAGGAGTGCATCGGTATTCCGAGAAGCCTATTCATTGATGGTCAAGCACATTGTCGTGCAAGTTATCAAAATTTGAGTCTGTTTGGGTTCAAAAGTGTTTTTTAAAGACACGGCTTGAATGTTCCAAATTTTTTCACTTTTCGTTTCCTTCAAGGCTTATTCTGTAGTGCCTTAAAAATCTTGTTGATGGAACTTTTTTAGTCTTGCTTCATGCTCCGACTTATGATGTACAGAAAAAAGTGGGTTTTTTCGCTGCTGTAGTGTGGTCTGAGAACGGCAACTTTTTTGATGGGAACAAGAATTAGAAAAAAATCTTTTGCCTTCAGTCAGTCCCTTCCTCATCTAAGTAAGGATACTATAAACCCATCCTTTCTAAGGGTGCTGTTGGCAGAGGAGCTAATGGGGCTGATGCGCACTTTTCAGAATTGAGAATTTTCATTGCCGATTTTGTTTTTACAGATTTTTGCATCGGAACTGTACAGTGTCTGTGGTGTTTTTGCCGGTGCTAATGAGCCCTTTTTCGTTTAAAAGGAGGAAAAATAGCGTCTTGTTGAAAGTTTGGGACAGTCGCTGCTTTATCGAGTGACTATGGGCAAAGCCACATTTCGCATTTTCTCCGTCAGGGAGGTTGAGGCAATTAGAAATAGCCAAAGCGTTAGCACTTGCCGAAAGAAACCAGAAACCACCTGTTGGCACAGCTGTCTTTGACTTTTCCCTCCAGTGCTTAGAGGCAAGTGTAATTGTCGATTTATCAGCGAAACCACTGAACAAGTTGTAGAAGGACTAATTTATTAAGCTGAGCCATCGACTTTTAGCATGAGAGCTGGGCGCTGTGTACCATTGTGCCACACTGGCCATCGGTGACTGTGGTAGCATTCTGTATCCGGCAAACTGGTCAGTACAGGATGGTACTATAGTCATTGCGGGCCGGTGAGCATCTCGATGTAAAGAATGATTGTTTACGATCTGTAAAAGTTTTTGAGTGTACTTTGTTGTGCAGCGTGTGCAGCATCCAGTGCAGACGCCTTTTGGTACTCATCATTTCGGTTCCGGAATCGTTGGTCAAGTGATTGTGCGCACATCAGGAGCAGAAAATGTTGAGGTAGGTGCACTTTTCTACCGGACTTTCGAGGTCGATGATAGACAGCAGCACTGCATTGATGCAGCACATTTCCGAATTCTGCTCTACATTTTTAGTGTTTTTGTGAATCTTTTTCACAGTATAATGATTAAGGCAACGCGTCGTGCTGTCGATGCTGCAATGCAAGCAGCCAGTGCGGCTGTTGGTGAAAATGGCGGTGTGCATGTACAGTTGGCAGCGCCACGTGTTGGTAATGCCGCAAACAGGTGCATTTTGAGTCTTCCTACATTAATGAAGTGGAATTTAGCTAACAGTGATTGCGATGCTAAGATCGTTGAGTGTCTTCACCCAAATAAACAAAAATGTGATTTTTTGCAGTGGCCGTACATAATTCCTTGCTGTTGTCATTGTGAATTTCCGCATTAAAATGATAACTGTATACTGCATTCTTCCAGGCGAGATATCACGTGGGGTCGTAGAACGTACGGCATCCAACCAAACAGAGAAGCTCTAGTATACGTATGTCTTTTTTTTTTTTTTGAAAACTTACCGGAAATGTGATAAAGTTGGTGACATGCATCGATGTTCCCTTTTCCGAGAAATGTTGGCAAAAAGTAGGGTAATCAGTGGCACATAATTCACATCGAATATGGTAGTCAGGAACAGTTGTCTCTTTGTTGCTTTTCGTCGTGAAATGGAGTTCTGCGCATGAAACGCATGGCTGAGTGAGGGATTCGTGAGCTGCGTTGCTCTGAGCGTGGTGCCACACCAATGCATAAGCTGACAGAATAACCACTTAGCTGTGAGCTCCGTTCTGGGGTCGCGATACAACCGTACACCGATCAGAGTTGTTCAGTGTCCAGCACCGCATTTTATTCCCTTCTTTCCGTCTTAGATCGGCGCTTCAGTTTGTTACAGGTTTAACAAAAAATTCTGTGCAAATCAGCATGTGCATCAGCAACGCTGTGATTGATGTGATGCGCAGGAAGGCGGAAAATCGCCGGCATCACTGCGATTTTTGTTAGGGGGGTTTATGGGAGTCATCTAATGCAACGCCGAATTGCTGCATTCAGGGCGACTGAGACTTTTCGAACGCGATTAATCACAGGCACCTGGTTTTTCGGTGATTGCAAAGCAGGCACTTCGTGTTGGACGTTGCGTTCATGCGCATTGATCTCTGTTTTATCGCTTATTGATTCAGTATATATTTGACAATTACAAAAACGCAGCTCGTTGTGGCCGTCATTGAACAACGCTGTAGCTTATCTGCTAACGTTGTTTCGCGGCGTCGCTTGCTGAACTGCTTGCACTTTGCGAAAGAGCGCTGGATAGCACTACTCATCACTTAGCTGGATGGCATGCTTGGAGATGATGGGTGGAGGGGTTGAATGTGCTTAGGAGGATGGTGATTGATGGATGCCCAGATGCAACTCCGGGGACGGAAATTGGGCACAGGATAGAGAGGGAGAACAAGGGTGCTAGTCAGGAGTTCGAGGCGAGAACCAGCGACAGTAGTTGGGGGGCGTTGGCTGAGGGGTGCCCAAATGCCGCCCTGGAGGCTGGATTTGGAGACGAGATAGAGGAGAAGAACGAAGGTACTAGCCAGGAGTTTGAGGCAGGAACTGGACGCAGCAATAAAGAGAACGAGATAACACAGCACTACAAAGAAAGGTAAATTTAAGCAAACCTAAACATATTAAAAAAAAACGGAAGCGAAGAATTGAAACCCATGAATAAAAGTTAAAATCATTAGCGATGCGCATCTGGTGCGATCATGCGTTTTTGCAGTATTTCGTACTGTTGCAAGGTCGCTTGGAGTCCCCATAACTGGAATTTATAGCATTATGATCCTCAGAGTTTAGAAAATCAACTGTGCAATTGCATGGTATTTGGTCACGAAGCATCCCTTTAAAATTTCAGCTTACCAGCTTTTCTGCTCCTTAAGTTAGCAATTTTCGCTGGGCCGTATGTGAGAGCCACACATGCCTTGGGGCTGAATTTGGAAATTTCAAGTTGTACGTGGGCTGGGAACATCCCCCTAAAATTTCAGCTTCCCAGCTTTCCTGGCTCCCAAATTGGAGATGACGTCGGTCAAGTTGAGCCGGATTTTAATAATTGCCATGTATTTGCATTTTAGAGCCCATCCGAAATGTTTATTGGGCCGAATTTTCCGATGGATTTGCCTTTCTACACGAATGATCCGCATCTGAGCTGTCAGAGTGATCTTTGTAATCCACGAGCGAGTATTCACAATTCATCGAAATACAATGAACTGCTGGACGAAATTTACCAGGTTACAGCTATATTATTATTTTCATTCGAATCGGTCTCTTCCCATTACAAGAGGAGCATAGTATTGCCTGCTAGGCTGCTGCTACTGGTGTTGAGAATTATTATTTTTCAACCTATAATTTCTTAAGCGTGAAGGGTGTTCCGCTTTCTAAAGCCCTGTTGCATCAACTCTTAAGTTTATATGGTGCTGCCGAATCTGAAGAGTTTGTTTGTCTCACCTGATTGTCGAAGGGAAGGTATAATTTTTAGCTGCGGGAAATGACTGCATTTTTGTCATATGCAAGCTGGATTTTGTCCCACTTGAAAATTTTCAAGGCTGTCTAGTACTTTTGCTTTAGAAGATAAGAACTTACCAGCAATCTTTGGGACCTCAGTCGTCGACGGCACAACATATTCAATCGTTAATTCGTCGCTGGGTAAGTGTTGCAGTATCACTGTGCAGGTTTTTTAAATTCTTAAAATCTGATAAAATTGAAGAAGATATTAGCTATGCTGCACCACATGCTTTTATGGTCGTTTGCCGGTTTCTCGATTTTTGACTAGTTTTGAGGCCTTCTGAAACTGCTTGCTGCTGGTTCAAGCTTCCAAGTTTACTCTTCCTTTCTGGATGGTGAGTCTAGTTTGTCTCAGCTG